TATTCTCTTTGTAGCAATCGTGAATGGGAGTTCACTCATGATTTGGCTCTCTGTTTGTCTATTACTGTTGTATAGCAATGCTTGTGATTGTTGCACATTGATTTTGTATCCTGAGACTTTGCTGAAGTTGCTTATCAGGTTAAGGAGATTTGGGGCTGAGATGATGGGGTCTTCCAAATATAAAATCATGTTATCTGCAAATAGAGACAATTAGACTTCCTCTTTTTCTTACTGAATACTCTTTATTTCTTTTTCTTGCCTGATTGCCCTGGCCAGAACTTCCAATATTGTGTTGAATAGGACTGGTGAGAGAGGGCATCCTTGTCTTGTGCCAGTTTTCAAAGGAAATGCTTCCAGCTTTTGCCCGTTCAGTATGATACTGGTTGTGGGTTTGTCATAAATAACTCTTATTATTTTGAGATACGTTCTATCAATACCTAGTTTATTCAGAGTTTTTAGCATGAAGGGCTGTTGAATTTTGTCAAAGGCCTTTTGTGCATCTGTTGAGATAATCATGTGGTTTTGTAACTGGCTCTGTTTATGTGATGGATTATAGGTCTCCCATACTTGATTAATAAAAACCACACTAATTTGCCCTTTAATGTGTTGTAAGCTAAATGGCACATCAAGAAGCTATAACAGGTGAACATATGATGATAATTAGTGAAAGTAATACCAGGAAGATGACCATACATTTCCTTCTAAGCAGAGGCTTAGGTCTAGCATGTAAAAAACCCACACATTGAGAAGTAACTGGATAGTTTCTCCTGGCAGCAAAATAATTTTAAAAATCAAAAGCAGGATAAAAGAAATATATAAAATAAATGGACTCACAAAGGGAGACATGTGTCTGGTGACACCGTTCTTTCTTCTGGTGAAGATGCTACATTTGTTAAAGGCTTCCTGAAACAATTTCAGATTCAATGAGGCCACATGAAATTTTTTTGGGGTTTTTTTGGGAGACGGAATCTTACCCTACCACCGAGGCTGGAGTGAGTGGTGAGATCTTGGCTCACTGCAACCTCCACCTACTGTGTCCAAGTGATTCTCCTGCCTCAGTCTCCCGAGTAGCTGGGATTACAGGCATGCGCCACCATGTCTGGCTAATTTTTTTGTATTTTTAGTAGAGATGGGGTTTCAGCATGTTGGCCAGGTTGGTGTCAAACTCCTGACCTCAAGTGATCTGCCTGCCTTCGCCTCCCAAAGTGATGAGATTACGGGCGTAAGCCACTGTGCCTGGCCTCACATGAAATTCCTTAAAATATAAATGAACACTGGATAAAAATATATATTGCTAAAATAATGAACAGTGATTATATCTGGATAGCAGGGTTTCAGAATGTTTCTCCCTCATACTTTTCTGTACTTTAAAAACACAGGCTGGGTGTGGTGGCTCATACCTGTAATCCCAGCACTCTGGGAGACCAAGGTGGATGGAGCACTTTAGGTCCAAAGTTTGAGACCAGCTGGCCAACATGGCCAAACCCTGTCTCTACTAAAAATACAAAAATTAGCCTGGCACCTGTAATCCCAGCTACTCAGGAGGCTGGGGCAGAAGAATTGCTTGAACCTGGGAAGCAGAGGTTGCAGTGAGCCAAGATCGTGTCACTGCACTCCAGCCTGGGTGACACAGTGATGCTCCATCTCAAAAACCAAAACAAACAAACAAAAAACAGTTAAAAAAGTATATAATGGATAACAGTGGAGCATGTAGGAGAGAGAGATAGCCCAATCTGTGACAGCTGGATGGCTGGACTATACCCCTTTCTGTGACCGCCACCCCTGCAACTAGGTAAATTCTCGGTTCAGCTTAGAAAACATTCTATGAGTGCATCCCATGGACAGGCCCTTCTCTGGGTTCTGGGTTCATAGTATCACATGCCAGCTCCTTCCCCGAAGGACTGACTGATGACGGCTCTCTGGGGAAGAAGAGAAATTGTGCTCTTTACACAAATGCAAACTGGTGTAATAAGTAAAAACTCAAATGATCACCAAGCAGGGAGAAAAAGCACAGCCAGACACCTTAACACCGGGAGAGGAAAGTTTGTTCATTCAACATTTATTAATTGCACACACAACTCTGTCTGCAGGCTAGACTCTGAAACACACAATTGTCAGAAACTAGAAAAATAAGTTATGTTCACATGTTTAAAAAGCAAAACTTTATAAATTCCTCACCATATTCATTCCTAAATTTTATCCCACAAAGTACGGCATGAAACAATGACCGCGTCAGTATTATTCAAGTAAAGTGCTATTTGAAATAGCTGCACACAGGTAATTAAAACACTAGGCTCCAGTCTTTAGAGGAAAAAGTCATGTGGCACAATTTCAAGTGTATAACTGAAGTCAACTATAAAGTATATTTGCTTACATTTGCTTCTGATTTTTATTCTGCCGCATCTCTTTAGTAGAATAAACAAACAGCACTTCACATAAAGTCATATTCAAAAGCCACTGAAATGGATAAACAGAAGCAGATTAGCTCTTTAATGAGAATCCCAGCATAGCTGGAGAAGTTCAAGAAGACCTGTTTTTTCAAGGCCAATAGACTCTTGTTATAGGGCTAATTTCATCTGCGTTATCATCACTGGGAAGTTCCTCTGGGAACTCATGGAAGCAATGCTGGAAAAGTACTTTCTTCACAGGAGGTGTCCAGTAAAATGAAATAATGCCTGATGAACGCAAGTAAGGTCAATCTCTCCCTCCTGGTCTAGATCAGGAGCTGCCCCCCTTTTTCTTTAAGGAGATGAGCAGTAAACATTTGAGGCTTTGCAGGCTGTACTGTCCTTGTCCCAGTGACTCAACTCTGCCGAGAAAGCGGGCCCAGACCGTACCATAAATGAATAGGGGCGGCTACGCTCGATCACATTTTATTTATGCACACTGAAATCTGAATTCCACAGAATTTTCAGGTGCCATGAAATATTGTTCTTCTTTTGATTTTCTGCCCAGTCATTTGAAAACATATAAACCATTCTTAGCTCACGGGTTGTATAAAAACAGGCATCATCCAGATTTGCTTTGTGGGCCGGCCATAGTTTGCCAACCCCTGATGTGATGGCTCTTTTCTAGTCCATGTTGTACAATGTATTTATTTTTAAAATCACATCACATATGGGTACTTTATTTAAAAGACAACAAAATGTTCAGTTAAAAACACCTCCCCTTCTTTCCACAAACAAGGACCATTTGACTAAACAATAAGCTAGTTCCTCTAATTACAAAATGGATCAGGGGGATTACAATGAGTCTCTGGCCCTCAATTTATGAACCCCTCAGCCAAATATGCAGGCAGACTCAAAATTCGCCACCCAACCAAAGAATCTACTGGCTTACAATGTTAAAAATGTATTAGGAAGTATTCCTGCACACAGTTCAGCATTACTAATCCAGACTTAGAGAAAATAACATTGGAGCATTTGTATTCTTTTTATTTTTTATTTTTTTTGAGACGGAGTTTCGCTCTTGTTACCCAGGCTGGAGTGCAATGGCGTGATCTCGGCTCACCGCAACCTCCGCCTCCTGGGTTCAGGCAATTCTCCTGCCTCAGCCTCCTGAGTAGCTGGGATTACAGGCACGCGCCACTATGCCCAGCTGATTTTTTGTATTTTTAGTAGAGACGGGGTTTCACCATGTTGACCAGGATGGTCTCGATCTCTTGACCTCGTGATCCACCCGCCTCGGCCTCCCAAAGTGCTGGGATTACAGGCGTGAGCCACCGCGCCCGGCCGGAGCATTTGTATTCTTAATAGAAAAAGGATGGATACATCTAAATCATAAGTAATTAGAATGTTACATAAAACCACCTAAAAACTCCACAATAAAGAGCAAAATGCTGTCAAAATGCTGAGTATGTGATTCTTGACAGGCCAGGGCCATGTCACTAGGAGATGAATTTCAGCTCTTCCTTCTTGGGGAGGTGGCTGGTACACCCCAGGCCAGGTGCCAGGCAGCTCCCTGTGTGTACAGGGACTTGCCAGACCTTTACTCACTCGACCTTAGCTTCCCGGTGGCTCAGTGAGGGATGTTAAATCCCAGGTGCGGTTCAGGAGTAATTGCATCTAGCACTACTTTCATTCACATGTTCCTTTTACAACCCAGAATAACCACAGGATGTAAGGGGAGGCTACACAGAGAAAGATGGGGAAAGGAAGGTGCTTCATCTCCACCTACTTGGCCAGGAATTACCTTTATTCTGCTAGGAGGCATGTCTAGAAGAACTTAGAATTTTCTTAATTGGATTTGCATCTGTTTAAGATTACAGAGTCTTTCTTTCAAAGTGAGAGGCAACACTGGTCATAGGGGCTTTTGTTTCTTGTGTGCTATTTGAATGATGAGCTGTAAAAACTCTTGCTAGCTAAAAGGTGCCTGAAATTCAAGGGCTCATGCCTCTTCTGCAAACTGGATTGGCAATTACAGAAATTCTTTCCCTTCTGAGCTGACTGTGGTGAAAGTGCTTTTGCTCTTGTGGAGGTGAGGGAGCAGCACCACACCGGGACAGAAAGAACAGGCCACGGGTGGTAGCCATTCATTCAGGCACAGGCGGGTGGGCAGGTGGGCATCGGCCTCTTCCCATCTTGGCAAAGCCATTGCCAGTAGGCAAAAGAGGGCTGGGCAGCGCTGCTCGTAACAATGGCTCTTGTACGTCCTTAGAATTTTCACTTTTCTGTGAAGTACTTTTAGTTTCTCTCTGGCTCACGACGATATCGCAGGGAGCTAAGTAAGGCCTGTATGGAATCTCCACTGTATGCATGGGGCGGGAGGTGCTGAACACACGCCCCAGGGAACAAGGCGGCTCAGGAAGGAGCCAGACCATGCCCCTGCATGCCTTCCACCCTGCCGAGCTGCTCGGGCTATTCTTTGCTTTACACTTGAGCTCGTTTCCTCAAGGAAGGGAAATGAAGTGGCAAACGGGACAGAAATGAAAATAGAATTCAGCAGTAAATTTAGGAAAATAAAGACGTCAAGTAAAAAACTGGTTCTGGAATAGGGAGAGGTGCTCCTTCAGGTCTCTCAGAAGCACAGACAATTCCGTGCTATTTATTGTCTTTGAAAGACGGCTTCCTGAAAACTGCCGCAGCACCCCAGGGGCACATTCGCTGTCTCAGGTGCTGAGCTGGCAGGTGCCGGGGAGGGGTGCTGGGCCTCTCACCCGCCCACCAGTCACAGGCAAGGGTCTCCTTCAAGTTGCTCTGGGCCCATATTCTGGAGCCACGTGGGGGATAATTGTGCCACGGCCCCGGCAGTGATCAAGCCTTTGTGACGGCCAAGGGGCTGGCCTGCCTCGCGCTGTGCCTACTCTCAGGCAGCCCAGGCCACGGTGAGGAGCCAGGGCCTCATTCTGTACACCCAGTGCTGGTTCTCCTGGAGTCTGCGGCCACAGACACGTGGCACGTATTGGTCCCTAGTTAGGTTAAGGGCAGGGGTAGGATTTGCATCTGCTTAAGATTACGAGGACCGGATGAGTTTTGAAAAATTCCTAACTCTGAAAACCTATTAGTTTGTTTAAAATAACAGATGGCACGTACCTATATATGTAGGTGAGCCTCCTTTTAAATGTTTTTAAAGAAGCAAAGGCTCCTACAAGCCCCCGTAACACACATACTTGAGTTCCAGATACTCATCGATACCGTACTTGGACCCCTCTCGCCCAAGCCCGGATTGCTTCACCCCACCAAAAGGGCACTCCACGGAGGAAATCAGTCCTTCGTTGATGCCAACCATGCCCACTTCCAGCTGCTCTGCCACCCTCCAGATCTGGGCTGGGTCCTGAGAGTAAAAATAACCTGCCATGGGGATAAAAGACGTAACCGACATTTAGAATAGTCATTAGAGATATCGTGACTAAAGATGAGGCCAGCACTGATGACTGTGCAGTCACTGGGGCCTAGAATCTTCCCTGCTCCCATATAAAATCCCAGGTTGGTCTCATCACTTCTTCATGTCAAAACCTTTGAAAGTCACCTCTTGCTTCAATTCTACTCTCACGATTTCCCATCAAAGCCCTCTTCCTGTTTGCTACTATTCAGTCCACTCTGCACACCTGTTAGATTTCTACATGACATTTTTGCCCAAGCCTTTTGCTATGACTCCTGACTATAAAATAAAGTTAAATTCCTCAGTGGGTATTCAACACCCTCTCCCCTCAGAGTTTCATCCAGCATTTCTGGTGTCACCTTCCATTACTCCAGTCACCAACCATCCTCTCCAAACCTGTCAGCTGCACACTCCTCACCCTTTCTTACTTTGCTTCTGAACTTCCTTGGCGCCCTCTGCCCAGAATCCGTCTCCTCCAATTTCTGCACAACCAGAATCCTGCCCATCATTTATGACCTAGTTCAGGGTACATCTTCCTCCACCATCACCCCATTGAGAAGGAAGAGACAAGCGCTGAACTGAGGGTTAGAAGCCCTTATGTGTACATCTTTCTCCAGCTTTGTGATACCTCTGAGGGGCCCCGTGGCATGCTTATTGTTCCTCTTGGTATAAATGGCTCTCTTACAGCTAGAGAAGCTTCTATAGAGCTGTAGTGGTATCTTGTATGTCTTTGTATCTTCTGCAGTACTCTGTCTGCTGTGGATGCTATGACATAATTTTCTCAGGGTTATAGAGTACATGCAGTGGCCACCTGGACCATCTCCAAACTAAAGGGAGGGCGGCCATCAGCGAGGCACCACTGCATACACCATCTTCACTGCTTTCACTGTCCCTGACGCTCCTTGCTGATGCCCTTCCTCTCTGTCAGGCTTACAGGAGCCAGGCAAAAGGGAAGAAAAAGCACTTGCAATTTCTGGGCATTAAGTCTCTGAGAATGTGGAACCTGGAGATGTGTGCAGTTCTCCACCTAGAAAAGTAGAATAATGTGCACCTTCTCGTCTCCCCACAGCTCTCCCTGCCCACATTGTAATTCGAGAGCTCCCAAATGTGTATCATGGGGACAAAGCAAAAAAACGGGTCCTTGCACAAATCCAAATCCCTTCCACCACTTGGAAAGCAACAAAACACATACTTCATGGAAGCTTCTGTCTCAAAACCCAGGGTGAGGTTTAAAAGGTACATCTGGCATGAGCTTGAGAAAAACGATTATGACTGCTGTTGAACAAGGACAAACACCCACCTGCTAACCCAACATCAGCTGCGTTGGCGATTGCTATAGCCTCCTCCTCTGTGTCGAACCTGCCAAAGTTAAGATAGGTCATAAAATATGCAAGGGGGAGAGGAAAGGAAGCCAGTTTTCTTTTCTTCTGATTCGTTTCCCAAATAATCACAAGGAGTCAATCAGAGTTTTGCAAAGAGATCCAAGAGCAGATTGCAGAAAAAAGCAACACCGTTCCCCGAGGTAACTCAGCAATCAAGGCTGGCATGCTCAAATCAACACTGGCTCCTAAGAGAACAAGAAAAGGGCAGACCAACATGCAGGCAGCTGTGAGATAACCAGAACATCAAACAAAATCCACAAAAATAGGATTACTGACCATGCACGGCGGCTCACGCCTGTAATCCCAGCACTCTGGGAGGCCAATGTGGGCAGATCACCTGAGGTCAGGGGTTCCAGACCAGCCCGACTAACATGGAGAAGCCCTGTCTCTACTAAAAATACAAAATTAGCTGGGC